TGCCCCATGGCTGCTTCTCAGACATGGCTGGAAACTTTCGTGGGAACTTGAGGGTCTGCTGAATCAAGTGATGAAGGCTTAGATCTGGATGTGTTGAGTTAGTTTAGGACTGGGGTGTTGATCTGTGAGTGCCTTGGGTGGGGCCTGGATGAGGCTGGTTGACCTAGTGGGAAATGTCTTTTGTGTGAAGTGTATCATTGGGCATGTGGAGGTATTATTGATATGAGAAAATGCTAAGTAACTGATTTACTATCTGAAAAGGGATTTACTATTGGGGAAATTGAGGGAAGAAGAGACTGAACATAAACTGCACCTATGGATGAGGACAATGGGGGATGGGGGGGGGGGACGGAGTGTGGGGTGGGAACCTGGTGGAGGGGGGAAGAAATGAGGAACCTTTGTAATAATATGAACAATAAAGATTGATTTTTAAATAAAAAAAAAAAAAAAAAAACTCAAAGGCTAACACAGACCAAATAAACAAGGTTTAAGTTTATGTGGGCTGCAAAAAAAAAAAAAAAAAAACCAACTTCAAGTTTCTTAGAAACGTAGGTATATTTCGATAGAGACATGCTGAATATGAAGGGTTGAAATAAATGAGTTATCATTAGCATAAAATAATAGAACATTTTAATAAAAATATTTTTAACATTAACTTGTCAGACACTGAATAACCACAAATTAATAAGCATAACGCAAATAAACCTATTTTTCTTGTTCTCCAAAAGCAAAATATTTCCTGTTGTGCATACCAAACAAGACTAATGATGTGGCAGTTGGCTGCTAAAATATTTGCTGCTAGTATTAGTGGAAAGAAATGGTGAGCCTGTGCATAATGAGTGTAAAGGAAATGAATGCAACACGATTATAGTAATCAGCCATTAGCGAATGTTGTAGTTCATTAATGATTATGTATAACAGGATATTAAAAATTAAGTTACAAAACTTGTATTGAAACATTTCTTACAGCCGAAACTGGTTTGGCTCAGTGGATAGAGCGTCGGCCTTTGGACTGAAAGGTTCCGGGTTCGATTCCGGTCAAGGGCATGTATGTTGGTTGCAGGCACATCCCCAGTAGGAGGTGTGCAAGAGGCAGCTGGTGGATGATACTCTCTCATCAATGTTTCTAACTCTCTATCCCTCTCTCTTCCTTTCTGTAAAAAAATCAATAAAATATGTTTTAATAAGTATATTTTATTGATTTTTTACAGAGAGGAAGGAAGAGAGATAGCTAGAAACGTCGATGAGAGAGAAACATCGACCAGCTGCCTCCTGCACACCCCCGCGCTGGGGATGTGCTCGCAATCAATGTACATGCCCTTCACCGGAATCGAACCTGGGACCTTTCAGTCCGCAGACCGACACTCTACCAACTGAGCCAAACCGGATTTGGCAATAAAATATATATTTTTTTAAAGAATCACTTCTTACATATTGTTATATTGGCTGGGCTGCAAAAATATTCGTTGTGGGCTGCAAGTTTGTGATGTTTGGTGTATGTGCATGGGAAATGGACAGACCAGAACCAACATACATATAAATGCATCAGTTACAGAATATAGACCTGAAATATAACCAAACCAGAAAAGTACACTTGTAGATGTGGCTGGGACATCATTCACCTTCTATAAAGCCTGCCTTCTCATCAAGTCTTTCTGGTTTCACTACGCTTAGCCCTTGAGGTCTCCACCCTTTGGAGGCATAATCTCCCTCTCTCCTCCCTTAATATCTCTAGCTTTTTAATAACAGAAATGCTGTCCCTCTTTAAGGATTAGTTTTGACTATTTTATCTGCTATCTTAAAAAAAATCTCACCCATATTCATCCTGCACATCTTGGACTGGGGACTCAAAGCCCAGCCCTTAACCAAGTTGTGAGATAGTAGCTGTTGCTCAGGAGAAGAGGTTAGAAAGACTGATGTCGGAAAGAGCATTAGGTCCCTTCCAATCAACCTTCTTGGAGGAGGTAGAATTTCAAGGGCTTGACAGGAGAAGGCAAAGTAATGTTTATTTTTGAGGGTGTCTGGCCCAGTAGTAGGAATTCGAGATTCAATGGAGATAACCACACTAGGTCGAGAGTAGGTGAGCCAGAGAGTGGGTATGAGGCAGGGTAAGGTGAAGAATGAGAAAGGAAAGTGTGATCTTTTAAGATACCTGATCTGGGGACCCTGACACAGAGGAAGAGACTCTTGATTCTGACTCAGAGGACAACAGAGGGTCACTGCTGGGCCTGTAGTGAGGGTACCGTGGTGGTGACATCTGTGGGTACTGCATAGAAGATCTTCTCCTAAACAATATCAGGTTTACGTCAATGAAGGACTCTGGGGAGCAGAGCTGGGAGGACCCACAGGCCATTCAGATCCATATGTCTGGTGTTTCTGCCAGTGCAACTCAGTCTCTATGGGGCCTGATAAAGGCTGACGCAGAAGGCTTTGTAGGAAGAAGTGGGACCAGTTCTAGGAGCTTAAAAAAAAGGGAGAATGGGGAAATTGAGCAGGTCAGCTTGGGCTGTGAGAGACTAAAGATCAGATCTAAGGGAGCAAAAGAGACCCTGATGAGACCATGTTCATGGGTGCTGAGTCAGGAAGGGGTACAAGTCTGCATGTGTACAGTGGAATCAGATAGGGAATCAAGATAGGTAGATCACAGGCCTCCAGGAGTGAGTACTAGTAAGCAAGGATTGTGAGACAGCTGAGAAAAGCTGGTGGCAGGAGCTGCAGCCTAAGGGGATTCTGGAACAGCCTATCTGGAATGAACCACAAGCTCATGTGCATACACACCAACCTTGATACCAGTGGATGCTTGGAGCTGTGTTGGTGGTCTGTGAGGAGCATGGAGGTGACTCCAGAGATGGTTTGGAAGATTTTGCTGAATCCATAGGTAGGAGCTTCTCTTGGCAACATACCCACCATCAAGGCCCAGTTAAGAATCTAAAGACTTGGGCCCTAGCAAGTTTGGTTCAGTTGGTAGAGCATCGGCCTACAGACCAAAGGGACCTGGATTTGATTGTGGTCAAGTGCACATACCTTGGTTGCAGACTTCTCCCCAGCCCAGGCCCTGGTCAGGGCTCATGCAGGGGGCAACCAATCAATGTGTTTCTTTCACATCGATGTTTCTCTCTGTCTTTCCCTCTCTTCCACTCTCCCTAAAACAATCAATGGAAAAATATCCTGGGGTGAGGATTAACAAAAAATAAAAACAAACAAACAAAAGAAGCTGAAGACTTGGGGGATGGGGAGTGGAAAGAGATTAATCAGAGAACTTATGTGTATATACCAGTATGCATAATCCATGGACACAGCCGGTAATGTGGTGAAGGCTTGGAGGGGGTGAGGGTTGAGGGTTGGAGGAGAACAATGGGGGGCTCAGGGAGACATCTGTAATATTTCCAACAATAAAGATAAGTTTTTTAAAAAGAAAAAGAAGACTCCTGTGTTAGGGAGCCAGTGAGCAGGCCTGGAGAAGGGTGGACACTATCCTACAAGGCACATACAGCCCAGAACCAGCTGGGCTCCGAACCTGCAGTAAGCCCTGGAGAGTCAAAAATACAAAGACTTTGTGGGCACTGAGGAGAGAAAAAAAAAAGGAAGGGAGGGAGGGAGGAAGGGAGGGAGGAAGGAGGGAGGGAGGGAGGGAGGGAGGGAGGAAGGGAGGGAGGGAGGGAGGGAGGGAAATGTGCGTGACTCAGCCTACCCTGTTTCCCCGAAAATAAGACAGTGTCTTATATTAATTTTTTCTCCCAAAGTTACGCTAGGTCTTATTTTCAGGGGATGTCTTATCTTTCCATGCGCTAGGTCTTATTTTTGGAGGATGTCTTATTTTCGGGGAAACACCGGTAATAGCTTGCAGTTGGGAGTGGGGATAGAATGGCAGCAATCATTTAACAATGAAATCCCACCCTCAACCTGAACCTGGGACTGGGCTGGAGGTTGTGCCAACCCTTTTGGGCCTCGCTCCACTCAGAAGGCCCTGTCTGCTGCCTGAGCCTGTTTAGACCAACCTATTCAATCTCCAGCATTGCCCCATGGACTATAATCCACCCAGGTGTGGGGTCAGGGTGTGTTGGTGAAGATGAAGAGCATAAGAGCCATCCAGGGACCAGAACCCCAGGAAAGGTCCCCACAGAACTCAATTACAGAGAATCATACCAGAGAACTCGGCCTCAGGGACATATATGGGGGTCTTGTGGTGCCTATAGCAAGGGCCCCCAAGGAGAATTGTGACCTTCAGGAAAACCCAGGCCCTGCCAGCACCCCATCACAGGCAGAGCAAAAATGTCCCTACTACAGCTCTCTGTGGTGGCCTCGTAAGGAGGTAAGATAGGAGAGAAGATCTAAGAGGAAACAGCTTAGACAGCCCAATTGAAGGGGCCAGTGCAGTAAGACTCCGCCGAAGCCAGAGCACCCAGATGGCAGCACTGCTACCTGTGCTGCCATCAACACATAATCAAAAGGGGAGGGTGTTTCCATGGCTTCTCTTCTGCTTCTATTCAGTGCATCCAAACAAGCTGACCCAGGTCTCTAAGGCCTGTATAGGGAGGTGGGAGCAGCCACTCCTCCCCAGCTCAGACCCTACGGGGTCCTAGAACGACCGCCACATCCTCCTCCATATCCCTTGTTGGTGTAGGGAAAGGATCTGCAACAGAGGGTGGAAGTGGGCGGAACATGTGATGGGCATGTGAGGTTCTATTGGTCAGAAGAGCTGCCGATTAGGAGGGCAGCTCGGGCGAGGATTGGCTGCGTGAAGCGGGGCGCGGCGCAGTGAAAGAAGAGGCCCCAGGGGTGGGGCTGACGCTGCAGCTGGCGCAGCTCAGACTCGGAGCAGCAGTCGCCGAGCAGCAAAGCAGCCAGCTTTCCCCTCCCGTTCCCGCGCCCCGGTCGGGGCTCGGCCCCCTCCTCCCCCCGCCGGGTCCCCGGGGGCTGCAGTAGCGGCGGCGGCGGCGGCAGCAGCGGCGCCGCCCGTGGTTCCCGCTGGGGCCCGGGTGCCGGCCCCTCTCTGCAGGATGGGCACGGTGCTGTCTCTTTCCCCAGCCTCCTCGGCCAAGGGCCGGAGGCCCGGCGGGCTGCCCGAGGAGAAGAAGAAGGCACCGCCCGCGGGGGACGAGGCGCTGGGGGGCTACGGAGCGCCGCCAGCAGGCAAAGGCGGCAAAGGGGAGAGCCGGCTCAAACGGCCATCCGTGCTCATCTCGGCGCTCACCTGGAAGCGCCTGGTGGCCGCGTCTGCCAAGAAGAAGAAAGGCAGCAAGAAGGTGACGCCCAAGCCATCGTCCGCTGGCGCGGACCCCTTGGTCCAGCAACGCAACCGCGAGAACCTACTCCGCAAGGGCCGGGATCCCCCAGACGGCGGCGGCGCCACCAAGCCCCTGGCCGTGCCGGTGCCCACAGTGCCCGCGGCCGCCGCCGCCGCCACCTGCGAGCCGCCGTCGGGGGGCAGCGGGGCCGCGCCGCCGCCAGGCTCGGGCGGGGGGAAGCCGCCGCCGCCGCCCCCGGCCCCTCAGGCGGCGCCACCGGTGCCCGGCGGCTCGCCGCGGCGGGTCATCGTGCAGGCGTCCACGGGCGAGCTGCTGCGCTGCCTGGGCGACTTCGTGTGCCGACGCTGCTACCGCCTCAAGGAGCTGAGCCCCGGCGAGCTGGTGGGCTGGTTCCGCGGGGTGGACCGCTCGCTGCTGCTGCAGGGCTGGCAAGACCAGGCCTTCATTACGCCTGCCAACCTGGTGTTCGTGTACCTGCTGTGCCGAGAGTCGCTGCGGGGGGATGAGCTGGCGTCGGCCGCCGAGCTGCAGGCCGCCTTCCTCACTTGCCTCTACCTCGCCTACTCCTACATGGGCAACGAGATCTCCTACCCGCTCAAGCCCTTCCTCGTGGAGCCCGACAAGGAGCGCTTCTGGCAACGCTGCCTGCGCCTCATCCAGCGGCTCAGCCCGCAGATGCTGCGGCTCAACGCCGACCCCCACTTCTTCACGCAAGTCTTTCAAGACCTCAAGAATGAGGGCGAGGCCGCCGCCGCCGGCGCCGGGGGTCCACCCAGTGGGGGAGCGCCCGCGACCCCCGTCTCCTCCTCGGCCGCCAGGGACAGCTGCGCGACCGGAGCCAAGCACTGGACTATGAACCTGGACCGCTAGGCATACCCGACGGCCTCCCCTGCCCCCGCCCCAGCCCCTGACACACACACTCGGAGCCCTGGAACCATCCAGCTGCCGCCTCTGTTACCGCCGCTCCCAACCCCGCCGGAGGAGGAGCCGTCCCTGCCCTGCCGGGGAAGGTGGAGGCCAGGAAGCCAGGGGCCGAGGCGTCTGGATTTGCTGGGCGTAGGGTGGGGCTGAGGGGTGGACTCGGGAAGGGGATCCCCCTACCTCAACCTTTCTGTGTGCATCCTCACCCTTCCAACTCTGCCCAGGTCTCCCCTTTCCCTTCCGTGTGTGTCTACAAGCCCAGCTTCCTCGGGTTTGGTCCGTTTCCTCACTTTCTTCCTGTATCTTCCTCTTTCCTCTTATCTGCCTTCCCATTTTACGTTCCTTGGGTGTGAATGTACGTCTCCATCTCACCCCATACCTATTTCTCTTTGCCCCCGTTTCCCTTTCTGCACCTGTGTCCCCATCGCCCATCTTGTTCTCTTTTTCCTCGCTCTTGGCATGTGTCACCACCTTCCTTCCTGTCTGCCTCCCCCACCCCGCCTGTGTCAGCCTGCATTCACCCCCCCCATGAGCCCCCATTCCTCCCTCCCCAGACCAAAAGGAACATTAGTTCTTAATTTGGATGGACTGAGGTGCGGCGAGAAACTGTATTCCCAGAGGCTCAGACAACCACCAGAATGGTCCTTCACCCCTCCCCCAACGCCTCTCTCTACCTTTCCAACGTGTTGCATGCCGGGAGTTGCGGGGAGAGGGATGCCGGACTGCCAGAGGCTGACCTTTGGGAGCAAACTCAACCTAGGAGGCCACCCCGGCGGCAGCGGTGCCTCAGCGGAAGGATGGGAAGAGACGGAAACTCTTCTTACTTAGGGGGAGGGGCACCCTCTTCCTTATCCTTAGGTGTTTTCTGTTTCCCCCTCTTTTAATTTATTCGGTTGTTTCTGGAGGGTGGGGGGAGGGAGGGTTGGGCAGGGAGCTGTCTGAGGTGCTGATCTGAGGCCGGACTGGAATCCTCTCCGGAGGATACCAGGGACTGGGTTGGGCCTGGTGCGGAATCCAAGGTGCCAATGATGCGGGCCGATGGCGCGGGCCGCACTGTCTGTCCGTCTGTCCGGAAGATAACTATAAAGCGCTTGTAGCGCCTGCAGATGGTTTTGCGCCGGCCTTTCTTTGGGCCCCGGGAGGGAGGGGGCAGGAGCCAGGGTGGAGCTGCCACAAGCAGGGCAGGAGGTCCCCACAGGCCTAGTAAGAAAGGTCTGGTCCCTGAGAACTGCTACTCTTTCGGTCACATTTACTGCCATCCTCATCCCCACCTCCATTTTGTCTGACCTAGCTCCTCATTAGTGGCCGATCCATTTCTGGATTAAGTGATAAGGACAGCAGAAGTTGTCCCCCTTTTACAGAGTGGTCCATTGAAGCAGAACTAGCTAATTATTGTGGCTACTTTTCTCTTCCTCCATCTCTCCCCGCCATATATCCTGTCAGGAGGCCAGGCAGACCTGACTTAAGTCTGTGTTCACCACTCTTAGGTGGGGCCTGACTGCCACACGCAACCCCACACGCTTCCCCTCACCCACTGGACTGCTTCAATGCTGCTTCGGTCACACGCCTACCCAGAGCAGACGTAGGAGTACCATTCCTGCTTGAGATTCAGACCTGGCTCTTTATCCCTAGAGAGGTTAGGACACAGGCAATCTGGGAGACAGGAGCCATTGATTGGGGTTGAAAGAGAAATAACCAATTTATCCTGAGATCCCTGTTTGGTCTCCCTTGCCTTCTTAGCCATATGGCTAAGCTCTCCATTCACTGTTTCATTGGCTCAAGAAAGCCTGTCTCCAGTAAAAGCGCTGACCCTAAGTCAGCCGGAGACCTCAAGAACAAGGCTCGCTGTCCGTGGTGCTGACCTGCACGCAGGGGGAGGAAGAGCCGGGTAGGGGCCTGTAGCGGCAAGAGGAGTGGCAGATTGGATCTCAACTAGATCTTCCGGATAATTTGAAAGTGGGGTGTGATCTATTCTACGGTGAGTTACAAGAGTCTGCCCCCAAACCCAGGAATGACGGCTTCCACTTGCCCTCCTAAGAGGACAGACTTCCACTCTCCCCCAGCCTCTGCCAAGCACCCTTGGACCCGGCCTGGAGCCGGAAATCCCCAGTCCAGATTTGTGAATCGAGTTCCCCAGGGGAAGGGGGAGAGAACTGGCGGAAAGGAAGGCGGGAGCTGCCGCCCATTGGCTGGAATTTGGCGCAGTCAGCGCGGTGCCGTCATCTCTCTTAGTTTGGAAGGAGGGAGGGAGGGAGGAGGACTTGGGTCACCTCGCGGCTGTCGCCATAGTAACCAGACTGAGAGGATGGGCGGGGCCACCTCTCCTTTCTCTCATCTTCTATGTGGGGGAAACAGTCCTAATCTTCCTTATTTGGAACTAGTTAGCAAGACTGCTTGATTGGAGTTACTGCGTTAGATATTGCCCGTGAACCTATTAACGGAGCATCTTCCCTGTACTACACACACACACACACACACACACACACACACACAAACACACACACACACACACACACACACACACACACACACACACGTGTTCCTCCAGGAACCTGTGGTTTGGCACTTTGAGACCTGAAATGAGAAAAAGTCTCAGTGTGTGGAGTCAAATTAAATCTCACTTTCCTTGCTGTGCCCCAAGGCATGAGGCTTTGCCATAATCTGATTAGGGGTGAAGGACTGGAGGAGGATCAGCGTGAATACATGGAAGAATTAGCCTTCTGGGTCAACTTGATCAGACTCCTGTTTTCTGGGAGAGAAGGCAATTTTAAGGTGTAGAGCTCAGAATTGTCTTCTGAGAAGGCAAGGTGAGAAGCAAATAAGCTTAGAACCAGAGCGAAGTGCCTCCTTTTTACTGCCAAGAAGTGAAGTGGCAAATGACTTGGGAAAATGAGTCCAGGCTCAGGAAGGGGGTTGTGAAGAGGGCCCAGAGCTCGAGAGAGAGCCCAGCAGGGGTGAGGTGTGACTGAGGAAAAAATGGAGATAAAGAATAGAAGACAGAAACCCAGACAGAAACTCAGCCATGACTAAGCACTCTGGTTGAGGGGGAGGGGGAAGTACAGGGGCAGCAGAGAGGGGAGGGGAGCAAGATAGCAAGTGGGCATATAAACAGTGACCATTTGCATAAGACATGCATTGATATACAACAAAGGGCACACATTCTAACCCAGAAATAGGTACATATGCATTTATACTGATGAAAATTTATTCAACTGTGACATACACATCTCCACTCCCACCTTCCCTGCCTCACTTCCTGGGGCAGAGGACATCCAGTCCTGAGAGTTGTGCTTGCCTGCCCTTGGAATACCTTAGTACTTAGTGGGAAAGGAGAAACAAAAAATTGCAGAGTTGGGGGGTGGGGGTTGTCATGGTAACTGCTTTGCTTGCCAGGCAGGATGCCCAGCAACCAGAGCATCTGGCAGTATCCAAGGGGACATCCTGTGGCCTCTATCCACCTGAGGACTCTGCCTCAGGCTTTCAAATAGGCATTTCCAAAGGATTTTTACAATAAGGGCTGGTTTGGCAACTAGGTGTGGGGCTTGACCTTTATCATGTGCCCTAATTTAAGTGGTACATAAATGACATTTGCTGAGAGTGGCTTCACGACAGCACAGAGCTCAACAATTTAAATACCTTTATTAAGACCATTACTTCGCCTCTCAGCAACTTGCCAGATACCATACAAGAGGATTGTCTATACCTACACAGGCTAGATATGTAAATGGTATATAGAAAAAAATGGTTTTAGTTCAGTGAGGTAAAAGATTGGGTACAAAATAGACCCTAGGGCATAGTCTTAGGATATAAGTTCCTTGGAGCAGATTAATACAAAGATGAGGTTATCAGAGTCAATTTCTCTCATGCACTTGCAGACTAGCTAGCTGACTTCATTCCAGTGGCCCCCACAACAGGTTTAATTTCTTAGTTTCTGGCTTAAAATGCTCCCAATTCAGTTTGGGCTTTCAGGATCCCCCATCCCAGGTTTCTCCCCACTATTTCTTCAGCAACTAGCTGCTCCCAAATTCTCTTTCTACTTGGAGATATTGCCCACCCCTTGGTTAGGGTCTCTTGTGATTAATGTTTAGCTTTAAGCCCATTAAACCATACAATTAGTCTCTCTGAGTACATTCTTATATGTGGCAACCTAGAAAGAAGGAAGGGTAATAATCCTATATAATAAAGAACTAATATGCTAATTAAATAGAATAGCTGAATGACCTTCCAGACAAAGCCAGGGCTGCCAGGGCCAAGCCCCTTGCATGAATTTCATGTATCTGGCCTCTAATAAACAATATAAATATGAAAAGAGGTATTTTTTTTTTTACAATCTTTCTACATTTTACTCCTTAAAAAAAATAATTTGTTATCCCAGAAAAACACAGACTATGGAGAAAAGCCCAAAAAGGAAGTATAATGATGGAGAGTTTGTCATACCAGCTATTAAAATGTATTATAGAGCTAAGTAGCTAAAATATATGGGACTGATACAGGAATAGACAAATCCATAGGACCGAAGGCATAACCCAAAGCTAAACTTCAACAATTGTGGGAATTTAATATATGATAAAGGCACCATTTCAAATCCATTGGAGAAAGATGGATTAGTTAGTAAATGGTTTTGCTACAACTTGATAGTCACTTTTATGAAGGAAAAGGTTAATTCTTCCTCATTTTTACCCCAAAATAAATTTCAAATTAATTTTAAAAATTAAATAAAAGCCATAAAAGCCTTAGAAGAGGAGAAATTTCAAAGTATCTATTAAAATTCAAATGCACATACATTTTCACTCAGGAATTCCAATTTATAGTATTGAGCCTAGAGAAATACTTATACATGTGCACAAGGGGACATAACAAATATTTTTAACATTGCATTATTATTTGAAGAGAGACAGCTTGGAATCAACCTAAATGTCTGCCCATAGGTTAGAGGTTAAATAAAATTT